GCGTCGAAATTCAAATTTCACAAAATTTCGACCCGCGATCGATCGTCCCAAAAGGTTTAATTGAGCATTCGACAGGTAACAGTGCAGGCAATGCGAATTGCGGCGATCAGACGCGTCGACTCTCCGAATTGCGAAGTTTATGCGTGTGGGAGTGCGAATTGTGCAGAAGGTCACCCTAAGGCTCAAAAGGTCCTACAGGAATCCCTTTTGGGTTCCTCATGTTGGTTTCATCCTTATAAGTGTTAGAAGTCGATACCACACACGCGAAACCACAAAAGAGTACAGAAGCGGGTTGAATTTTTTTTTAAAATGAGGCGGATCCCATTTCTAAGGTTCTAAGATAGTCGAAGGGAGATCCCTAAGGCTAGATCCTAAACCCTAAGAGGAAGACTAGACCTCGCTAAAAATGAGGTCAACATGGACACAACACTATACGAAGAAATGACATAACTGAAAAAAATTGGACTGGACACGTTATAAGCACGTTTTTAGATTTAATTAATTATTAATATAAAATATATATATAATTTAACTATTCTTTATCAAAAATATCACAATACAAATTATGCAAAAATAAAATTTAACCAGATAAATTTAATTTATATTATAAAATTTCATACTTATGAAAATTAATTTTTAAAATTAGATAATATGTTTCAAAATAATTCATCGAACTTATAATTCAACTTATCCACTAAAATTTTAAAAATCTTATAATTACAAAGAGGGAATTACTAATGCTCAGCTCCGACGAATATTGGATGCACCTTCAATGCTCGATTTTAACAAATGTTGGAGAGAGATTCAACATGACAAAAAATAGAGCGGTTTTGATTAAGATGTTTAATTAAGGTTGTACATATATTTATAATTTTCTAGCTCCCATGTCCTATTTTTTTGAAATTTTATTAAGCTCGCATCTGATGCAGTGTTTAGGTGTGTCCCAGTCATGCTTGAGCTTGAAAAAAATTCAGACATATATTTTGTAGTGTCAGAGAAATGTCGGGACATGTCGGACAAGTGTCGGTATCCGAAACATGTCTGACACGAGTACGATACATTTTTTGAAATGTCGGTGCTACATAGAAAATGTCGGTGCTACATAGATGCACAAACACTATATTTGGATAGCAAACCATGGGTTTGATGAAGGCCGGTGGTCCAAGCTTGACTATTTGGGATGATTCTACATGTACAAGAGTGAGGTGATGATGAATTAGAAAGTTTATGCATTGGGGGAGAAGGTCAAATGAGGTTAGAAAAAGATTGTTAATAGCAAAATGTAAGAAAAATAATTTGCAAAGTTTTCGCAAAAATATTAAATAATAGCAAATAATAATCATTTTCTAAAATGCAATAGAGCACAAAAAATACCTTGTATCTTGCCAGACATTGCTATACAGAAACCTTGGAATAACAAGAGTAGAATTGAGTAACCTAGCAATGGCAACAGCATTGCAAATCTGAGGAAATAAAAAAACAAATAAACAAGTTAAAATAATCAATAAAATAGAGAATCGCATCAGATATGTGATAGTATGACAAGATAGCAGTCCTGTCCCCTTACTGGAAATAAAAAGGAAAACAAACAAAGCAATTTAATAAGGGATTCACGAGCCATGATGAATTGGAGTGCAATGTATGAGAAACCTATACTTGCTCTCCATAAAGCTTTCAAATTCTCACTCCCTCAACAGAAACTAAATAGGAAAATCCATGCAGTAACACAGGAGTGAACTTAGTTGGTCCCCTCATGGAAATAGCCATCTTTACTAAATACATTTAGTGATGATTAGCATAAATAACACAACAACAAATCGCTGTGAAAGACTAAACTTTTCTTTATAACTTTTCAATGCTCTATTTAGAAAAAGGAAAGTTGCATGACAGATTTACTTATTTCCCTTAGACTACTCAACAACCAAAATTTACATGGCTGACTATCTGGCCCAGTATGATATTATCAGTAGATGAATTACTGGGGTACAGTTACCTGCAGATTCCAACAATGAAGACAAACTATAGCCAAAAACTCCATAAAAGTATTAGTGAGATCCTAACAACCTTGAAAAAAAGATTCAATTGCTATTTAAAAAAAGTAAGTTCCAAGATACACACTTACAGCCACTCTTTGCTGGCTTATCCCACCATTTGCACTGACTAGAACAAAACCATTTGTCGCCTCTGCAATTATAATGAAATAAAAGAATTACAAACATAAATGAGACGATGCATAGAAGCTGATGATTGATCATTACCACTAGGTTTCCAACTCCCTTGATCAGCACAGGGTCTCCAGGAAACAGTGGGAACAACAGTCTCCTTCCACAAGTCACGAGGTTCAGGCTTGCCCTCTGCCTGTGCGACATGCAATCCGAAAAATAATCATTCTATGAAGTCTTCCAAAAAAAAAAAATCAACAAAGTGTTAGAGCTGGAAAGAAGTGTAAGGAGAGAAGCACGGATCCCTTTGGATCTCACATCTGCTAGCGAGTGTGCAGCCAATGCAAAAAGCCTGTTATACATTATTGGACGAAATCTTCCAACTTTTGCATATTTATTTTTTCTTTCCTGCACATGTAATGTATGGGAATTAATACAGTCAATAACCATTTTTAAGAAAATGCAAAAACCACAGAAATTATTTCACATTCAAATAGTACTTGAAAAACCCTGCACAATGATTAAAACAAGTAAACGGACAATATTACAAATTTCTTAAGAGATTATTCAAAGATATAATAGTAGATAATACTTTTGCAGGACTGCATGGGTAATGGAATGCCTCCATAAAAAGCCATTGCGAGAAAGCAGACATCTCCACGTTTAAAACATCATTTTGCGCTGCAATGACTATCTTTTAACAATAATAACTAGACAACAATTTCAGAAATGGAAACTGTCTTTCAGCAGAACAGTAAGAGAACCATACAATTCTAAATTTAAGGACATGCATTAGATGCTTCTATATTTAGTATGATTGGTTGTAAGGGAACATAAACATGCTGATTAAGCAGCTATATTTATACCTTCATTTGCGTTCTAACCTATTGAAGGAAACGAATATAGCATCACAAAAAATTCAGTTATTTCCTTAGAAGCCATTATTTCCTCCCAAACAAAGAAAACCCCACTCAAATCATAAAACAGATCAAAAAAAAGAAAAAAGTTCGAACCCAAAGACTATACCGTAAACCGCTGTCTCGGAAAAGCCGACAACGTCGAATTCAAGATAACATCCGAATTCTTCCGGCGACCAGAAGGATCGTTCTGAAGCCTGAAAAACATCCACCAGTTCACCATAAAGAAAAATCCCACTAACCCAACCAACAACACGATCCACTGATTTCTTCTCAGCTGCCGCCCCCACCAACCACTGCTCTTCCTCCTTTTCACGCCTTGGCTCTGGCTCATCCTTATCCCCTTTTCCGAGCGTTCACAGCTGCTCAGCAGCGAACTCAAAATCGAACCTAAACCACAGTACTGAAAATTCACTGGGTAGGAAGGGAGCCAATGGCTCCGTAAAACGCCGGAAGCGATGGATCTCGGAGAGGACTGAAGCCTTCTTGGGCTCGTGGGATGGGATCGATCGAGGAAGCTAGAGGACCATGCCGATGACTCCGGGAAGATGGAATGGTCACCGGCATTTTCTTTCGGTGAGCTGATGAGCTCGGAGGCAGAAGAGTCATTATTTGACATGATCGGAGTTGGGAGGTGTTGGCGTTCGGCTCCCGCCGCCAGCTCCGCCGGATCTGCGTTTTCGTGCAGGATGCAGTAAGCCGGACGGGTTTCGTAATCCGGTGGGCGCTTAGAAGATAAAGAACTGAGCAAGCTCTAGGTTAGCCGCTAACCGCAACGGTAGAACGTGAATTGGAAGACAGTCTCACAGTCACTTGTAAAGTGCAACTTAATTGACCGCTTATATTTTAAACAGCACAAACCATTCAGTTTATATAAATTGATATATATACAACCCTTAAACGTTTAGGAATAATTAGGACCACCCTAAACATTTATATTTTCAAATTAATCCTCCAGGTGACTTTTTTTTTCCGGAATTATCAAAAATATAAATTATGGTGAGATGTGTGAAGTTAAACCTCAAGCAGTTTTTCTTTCTTTCTTTCTCTCTCTTCATCAAATGCTAGTTGAATCTCTTTCCCGTGGACGTAAATGAATTGACTTAACGTTGAACCATGTAAATCTTTTGTGTTTAATTGTTAGTATGTGAATTTTTATGTTTCTGTATTGTCTTGCAAAACAATTGGTATCAGAGCGTGTTGTTTTCGGTTTGGGAGTCAACAACAACAATTGGATCATGTGTCTCAGCATCGACATCATAAATTTCGGTGGATGTTGCTAGCGATTTTTTGCAACAGGTGGTTTGACATGCTTTGCGGAGAGATTGAAGTTTTTTAATATTTTTTAAGAAAAAAATCTTATCTTTTCTTTGTTTGGCTCCAACACAAGCGATAACAAAATCTCACGTAAGACGCATGTTGTCTTTTCACGTCGGATCTCGCTAGACCCGCAGCTAGTTTGCTGCCTGAACCGTCACTGGAACAAAGCCATTAGTTAGGCTCGAGCAACGCCTCCACTACCACCAGGACTATCGCCGAAGCCGATGCTAGTAATTTTTTTTTTGTATACATGTTTTACTTTAAAAAGTCTTTTATTATATTTTTTTGATAAATAAGTACATGGCAATTGAATTTAAATTAACTTTTATATAGAATATAAATGAATCAAAATATTAATAAAAATATATAATATTTAGAATTTGATAATAATATAAAAAGTATTGGATTAAATAAGTTTAATATATTTTACTAAATAGGTAATAATTAAAATATAAATTAATTAATTTAGTCGAGATATGTAAATACGCAGGAATTTGATGATATGTATGTAAATGCTACTTTATTTTCTCTTTAATGAATCAAATTACAAGTGTTGCTTGCTGGCGTAAGAACCTATGTTCGACATACATTTGTGTGTTTTTCTTTATATGTTTTTTTATAAAGATCTTATACAATAACACTACTAACATAGCTATTTGTAAATATTTATAAACCTTACACTCTTGCATCCACTCTTTAAGGGTCTGTTTGGGGCAGCTGCAGCTTATCCAGCTTCTGCTGATAAGCAGTTTATCCTGATAATCTGCTGATGAGCAGCTGATCCGGATAAGCTGTCTGGCTGTTTGGTTGGCGCTTATGGAAAACAGCTGATTGTGAAAAATTGATCATTTTGCCCCTATTTTTCTAATTGACTTAGATGAGAAAAGTTTAAGTAGATTACAACCAAGAATATATTAATCGAATAAAAAACAAACATTATTCTCTAGCAATTTCGAACACGAATTAATATGAAATAAAATTAATTTTGAATGAGCAAAATATGAGCCAAGCCTGAGCTCGCTCAAGCTCGAGCAATCAACAATGACAAGAAGTTTCTTCAGACAATCTTTATAAGAAATTACTTAGCATAGATATTAGGTGGCAGAAGTTGCAATACTAGCAACTGTAGCCACTTAAATTAAAAACGAAAATAAGAACAGGCTATTAACAATAAATAGTGCTGCGCAAAGAACCCTGCGAACTAGAGCCAAGAAAACAGATCAGAAATAGCAGGAAGTAAAAATCATTCAGAAATAGCAGGAAGTAAAGATCAGAAATAGCAGGAAGCAGAAGATTTCGCTCCGACGGCAAGGAGAAGATCCGGCTTCGAGGAGAACGAGAGGGGGAAGATCCGGTTGCGACGGGAGCTAGGGTAGCAGATCCGGCTTGGGACAGGGAAGGAGAAGATCCGGCTTGGGACAGGGAAACGACGAGATCCACGTTCGACGAGAGCCCGAGGACAAGTTCCGGCTTCGACGGGAGGGCAACGAGGAAGATATGGCTTGGAACAGGGAAATAGGAAAGAGCTCGCGGAAGAGGAAGGAAAAAGGAGAAATGCTAACGGGAGAGGCCAAGGTCGCGGAAAAGGAAGATTGGGCTTCGAACGAACAGGGGTTAATGAGGTAAAAAAAATCGCGAAACGCGGGGTCCGCTTGTTTTAGGAAATAAAAAACGCAGTTTTATACAATCTACCAAAAAGTGCGAACCAAACGGTATGGCGGCGTTTTCAAAACTTTTTCAAATCGCCGCCCGCACTTATAAGCTGCCCCAAACGGGCCCTAAAAAAAATGAGGATGATATCTTTTATTTAATATTAAAAACTGAATATTATGCATATTTAAAATATATATATGAAAGTTAAAGTACAATAATTTAAGAAAATTTACATATAAATATAGTGATTGTCATGTACTCAGTCTCTGTAATCGACAATGCAATAATAGACTGAAGAACTGACCTCCAATTAATTGGATATCCAGCCAATGTGAATAAATAATCAATCGTAGATCTCCAATTCATATCATTTGCATGGTCTGAGTTAGTGTAACCTGCACACAAATCTGCACTGTATGATTGCCTCTCGGACACCAAGCCAACACCAATTATACATTTCAGATATCTCGTAATACTCTTCACAGCATGTCAATTATCCCTTCATAGATAACACATGGACCTATTCATAACAAGAACTACTTGTGCAATGTGTAGCCTACTAATCATGACATACATCAGACTGTCAAGTACACCAGCACTAGGAACTAATCACATATCTTTCTTTTCCTAATCATCTCTAGGACATGGATCTAAACTCAACTAAAAATGAGATGCAATGGGTAAAATAATCGCCTTACTCAAGCCATCAACCCTAAATTTCTTCAGCACTTTCTGAACAACCTCATTGCGAGCGTTGAAACTTTCTAACCGCCTTATCCCCAAGAATCTCCAAGACAGTAATTCCGCGAGTTTTACCCAACTCCTTTATTTCGAAATATTTTAACAGTTAATTCTTCATCCTATGAACCTTAATCTGACCAGCATATGTAATTAGCATATTGTCGGTCGTTAATAAATTTAGTAGGTGTTAATAGTCTATATATTTAGTTTTGAAAATAAGGTTTTAATTTTAGAAAGGTAGGACAAACAATATCTCATATATTTGATAGTTTGGATTAAACGAGCACCACCGCCAAACAATGGATCTATCTGAAAGGGTAGACATATCATTTGAATAATGAGGCTCGATTAAATAAACAAAATAATTTATGACATCTATTTGGTCTGCGAAACTATTATTTATAAACCGACAAGTTTCCCTATCTAATACAATGAATTAGATGAGTTTTGTATTACATGGGTTCTTAAGTTCCCTAAAGAGGCAAGCCCCTATAGTTAATTACGTTTTAAATGATCGAAGTTACCTAAGAATACTCTCGATTAAGTTCAATGGTTTTGCTTTCAAGAATTTCAAAGTTCAAGTTTTCAATGATGGATACAGAAAAGTCAAAAGGGAATGGCTTAAAATAGGAATAGTTTATTTTGAGTTCCAAAGGAACGAAGAAGTAGGCGACGCCATAGGCTTTGAGAAGAACCTCAAATGATTTCCCAACTATCATATTTATTTGGTTTTAATTTTGAGAAGATGTTATTTTCTATTTCATCCTGACAATTTTATTATTTAGGGCTTATATTTGTATGACACGGTCATACAAATGATTTGAAAAATATGAGGATTTACGTCATAACGGACGATGACCTCAGAGCCTAAAGTGTGTTAGGGCTTAGTTTGCACAACATGGTTGTGCAAAGATCTAAAAGACGAGGTGATGATTTATATCACGCTAGGAAGACCACCTCGAAGTTCTATGGCTTATGTTATTTAAACTAAGTAAATGTTTAGTTGATGTAGATCTGCTATAGTCTTGACTCGTGAGTAGAAGTCCTTAGCTTGCATCCTCATCGTGCTACCCACAAATGCATGCTCCATGCTACATGTCATAGCAGCAATTTCAAGATTTATGATTGTTATTTACATATTATGTTTTGGTTTTTTTTTTTTGTGGAGGTAAAGTAAAACATGCACATGTAGGAAATACTGTAAAATAAGTAGTAAAGTTGCACTAAATAAATTGTAAATATGTACCCGAACCTCTGTTGTTGAAACATGGTTAGTATTCTAAAACATAATATAGTTGCAGAGAATTTAAGTAAATTGCAGAAAATCTGGTGCAAGGAAATATAAAACAAGTTGTGAGAAAATACAAACGAATAAAACCAAACACGACGTCACATATAAAAGATCAAGGGTAAGTGGTTTATATGTGACATGAGGAATGACCCCAACTGTCAAGAGAATTTGACTGTAATGTTTGAGCTCAAATCCGAGAGCATTTGGTTTCTCTATAGGTTAAGTCACGACGGAAATTTCACTAGTTGATTTAATTAAGAAAGTCATGAACCACATCCTGGTGTATCCTCATGTTTGATATTTTAATTAATTTATGAATTAAGGTCAAATGCATGGTTTCATCATTTATTTGGAAATTAGGTAGAAGAACTCTTATATAGGGTGTGCTCAAATTTAGGAACCCTACACTTTAACTCGAGCATGAAGTGTTTCAAAGTGTTTCGACTTCAATTAAGTGTTTTCCAACTAATCCTTAAATATATTTAAATCAAACCTAGCTCACTATGAAGCTATTAAGACTTAGGAGGTAAGCTTGTAATTTTACAAAAAGGGTTCATGAAGTGTGCTTTAATCTTAATTAAAAGGATTGGTCTTAAGTTTAACCAATAATTAGAGGTTATAATTGA